TCATATTTTGATCAAATAAACAATTCAAATTTGGTTTTTTTAAGAGACTACATTCGTTTACGAAAACTGCGAAGCCGAGTTGAGATAGGCCTAGATCTATATTCTTTCATGAATTGCGTACTAAAAATTATTTCGTTTAATTGTTCACTTTATAATCCCATTCATTTAACAAAGCTATCGCTCTTTTCGTTTTTAATAGATATGAATGTATCGGCTTCGGGTAAACCCATGTTTCGCAAAACTAATTTTATTTTCGTAGCGAAAGAGAAAAAACTTGAAAGGATCATTAGCTAAGTTTAACATACATCTAAATCCAATCCACTAGATTAGTAAACACAAACTTAGACCCTCAGGCCGCGGGTAATGTCAGGCTAGTAGAACAATAAAAACAACACAAGACACAGGTATTTTACAAAGAGAATTAGATGAATTACAGAAATGGGAATCAAATTGGAGCATGTCTTTCCACCCAAAAAAATGTCAGCTGTTAAGAGTAACAAAAAAACTAAAACTAATTAATTCCACTTATCTTATTCATGGCAAACCAGTAACACAGACTAAAAACGCAAAATACCTAGGTGTTATAATAAATGAAAAACTGTCATGGAATCCACATATTGATGAAAAAATAAAAAAAATCAAACAAAGCATTAGGTTTTATTAAAAGAAATTTCTATAAATCAAATAAGAACATAAAACTAAAATGTTATTTAACCTTGGTTAGACCAATAATAGAATATGCATCCTCCGTTTGGGACCCCTCAACTCAAGAAAACATTACGAAACTGGAACAGACACAAAATAGAGCAGTGAGATTCATAACAAACGAATATTCACATTTGACTAGAGTAACACCTTTAGTAAAATTACTAAATTTAGAAAGCCTTCAGGACAGAAGACTCAAAAGTAAAGTAGCAAGTATACATAAAACACTTAACCATAATCTTCAAATACAAAAACAAAATGTAATAAAATACTCTGAAAGACACAAACATAAAGACTCATCCCTCGTCCCATATGCAAGGACAAATTTGTACAAATACTCCTTCTTCCCTAATGCTATTAGAGCATGGAATGGGTTGCCTGAGCTAGCCAGGAAAACCAGTGACTTGGCAGAATTTAAGTCATTGTTTAATATGCATGACTAAATGCATAACGCGTATGACGTAATCATCTTCTTTTTTGAAGTAACGTCTGTATTATATAAGATATGATAAGACTCTATCCTCGCTTGAGGACTAGTGCTTTAGTTTATGGTGTCAATAACACATTCCATGTACAATTAATCTAACTTTCATTAGTCTTTTTTTTTTTTTACAAAGCTTCTATCAACTCACTCTGTTTGTCGGTCTGTCCGGTAATACTTTTGTACACGTTATTTCTCCCTAACCCAATCTCGAACCGAGCTGAAATTTTGCAAAATTCTTTTTTTTTTTGAGTTGAGGGGTCCCAAACAGAGGATGCATATTCTATTGTTGGCCTAACCAAGGTTAAAGGTGTATATTTAAAAAAAAAAAATTCGATATAATTTACGAGCTACTTTGTGTCTAAATTTCAAATTTCATAGAACTGAGGAAAATAATCCATTTGCTAGAGTCACTGACTATTTATTAAAGTATTTAAAAAAATCGAAATGTCTTTGACAGCGTTTTTCATTAATCTAGCCAATCAGGGGCTGTTATTAAAGAAACCAATCAAAGTCAAGATAAAGCAGGTTAGGCAGTCGAGCAGCTAAATTTAAACCAGGCATGTCAAACATAGCGTTCGCGGGCCGCATCCGGCCCCCGACCAATTTGAATGCGGCCCGCTTGGCCACCTCAAAAATTATCAAGATAATGTTGAATTATAAAGCGTTTAACAGTCACCACTACTTCTCAGGTAAAATATTGAATAAAAAAACAGGAAACGAAACAACGAACATTGTTAAACTTATGAACTGTTCTTAAATGATCAGATTTTTTAAAGCAAATAATTTCTCGAAAATTTCGTTTAGGCTATCTATTAACTTCGCATTATCTTTCAAGTTATCTTTTAAGTTTAGTGTTGATTTGTTAACTATTTAATTATTTTTAATTGTTAAAAATCACATTATAAAAAAGCCAATATGTTAGAGTTAGATTTACATTTGTCACAAATCATTTAGTGAGGGTGATTTATTAAGGAGTGTGTGTCGTTAAAGCTGTCGAAGTAACTTGACCAGAAAAGGTGAAAGCATTCTAAGAAATAACATTAACTAGGAACATGCTGGCAGATAAAATAAATGACATGTCAGTCAACTTGCATTAGCAATTAAAGAACAAAATAGCAGATTTTTAATTCTTTTCTTGGGCTCTCGATGAGTCAACTGATGTGGCGGGTGTAGCACAGTTGGCTATATTCATAAGGGCCTGTGACAGGAATTTTGAGAAACATGAAGAACTACTTGAGCCCTTTTCTGTACATAACACCACAACAAGCGAGGATGTTTTTTTAGAAATAACTGGAGGTGATATGACAATATAATTTTTCTGGATGACATTGGACATGAATTTGATTGTGTTTCCTACTACACAGAAGTCCGCTGGCTCCCATGACATACAATATTGAAGAGATTGTTTGCACTGCGTGAGGAAATTGTATTGTTTCTGAACATGAAATGGTGAACCTGTTGAACATTTCCAAACTGACGAATGGATTCAGGATTTGGCATTTGCAGTTGATGTCATTGGTCTCCTGCAAGACTTGAGTTTGAAGCTTTAAGGTAAAGACACAATCGTCACTACTACTACGACTGTGGATAAACCAAAATATGAAGTGAAAGTCTTGTTCACTTCTCAACGTGTCAGGAATTAAAAAGATTCAATACGGCTGCAACATTTGGTACAAATGTCCTACACCTGGAATCGTTAGTAGATGCTTTCAGTGAATGTTTCATACGAGCAATTTCTAATAAACAAAATAATAATAATAACTAAGGTACAGGCATTCCATTAATATTATTCTATTGTATTATTTCTAATTTACGTAAAACTAGTAGACTATGTTTTCCAAAGGAATGTAGCAGCAGACATGATTAAGGTTATGTCCCCTTCGAGAACTGGTGTATATGCTGATTAAGACTTGCTATATAATAAGACAGGACAATTTCCAAGACAAATACTACTTTGTCTTGATTTAAAGTTCTTTCTTTCAATCCACAGTTATGCTTACGAACAAATGAGATTGGAATTTCACACAAAGATATGTAAAGCTTCATTCATCTCTTTATAGGTAGGACTTTTGCTAATCGAAATTTGAGAGCAGATTCCGAGTTTTTTTGTTTTTTTTTGTTAAGATGAAAACTTTTCTGCGACTGTCATATTACTTCAGAAGCTTTGGAGGTCACTTTAGATCAGTGGTTCCCCAAAAGTTTTTTTTTGTAGATCCCTTGCCATGTTTTCCAGATTTCGAAAGCTAATTATGCATTTTTGCAAAGGAGAAACACTCAGCTATCTTAAGAACTAGCATGAGAATGTACGTGTCTTGTCGAAAAAAACATGTGTACTTAACCTTATGACGTCAGAAAGGAAAACGATTTCCGCCCAAGTAGAGAGCCAATATGGAGAGACTGTGCCTAAGATAGATGTTGTTTTGTGTACCTGTGATGTCGTGTAAAAAAACGTCTCGTTGAGTTGCCTCACTTAAGAGGCAATATATAGATATAACACTCTGAAATATAAGCTTTGTCTTCGATTCTAAAAATTAAGGATTAGTGCAATAGTTTACATAGCTACGTAAACACGGCTGCGACCTGCATATTTTGCGACATCTAATGCAGACAAAGGCGATGTCCGCGGGATTCCCTACTGAAGTTGTCTTTTCGACGTTTGCACATGTCTTCGGCATGTTCTTTCGAAGAGTCTCAAATGTGTGCCCTCGGCCTTAATGACTACTCTACATCTGTTTATTTTAGAGGCCATCTCCTGTCAGCTACTTTCCTCTATTGTCTATTCAAAGCTAGCAAAATTGAGTCCGGTATGTTCTGAATAGCGCTTCAGGGAGGGGGGTCTCTGTTAAACCGTCCTGTTTTAAGCTCGCCGAAGAAATCGTCACCTTTGGTATGCGGTTTTCGTCTATACTAGATATGTGGTCGACCCAGAGCAGCTTAAGAACAGTAAATAGTACGACTGCACTGTCCACACCAACGTCCATTTGTGAGTTAGTCTTGCCCAGAGAAAAAATATACAATAGCTAGCTATTTGGTGTAGCCGCTGATATATTTAGTGCCCATTTTTAGCAATGTAAAATCAATTTTCTAAACACGAAGTATTTTTTTTTAGTTGTCATCGTAGATGTTTTAATGTAGCGTCTATGACATTATTAATAATGGACAATTTTTGGTCCAAATCCCAAACTAGCGTGCTCATTGCGTTATGGTTCAATCTTTTTTGTGGACCTTTAAGGGTGGAGGAGTGATCGGAGAATCTTGGGGAAAAGTTTTTACGCACTGCCTTTAGGCATTCAGCAAACACAACTCAGTTTGAGTCGGGTTTTGAACTCAGGCCCCTTGGTACATAGATAAGCTGTTTATGCCACTCAATGGATATGGCTCTATTTATTTTAGCAATACACGAATAAATTAAAGCTCAATTCGACTCTTTATTAATGTGTATTTACGAATATAAAAATACAAGACGGACTTTTCCACCTAGTTGAGTATAACAAATAATTCCTCCTGTTTGTACCTGGAAGTCAAATCCTCCTCTCATGCAGTATTCCAAATGTCTAAATTTTTTAGTGTCAAATCTAGACCTAGAACTATATCATCAGTCATCTTAACCTTTTAACTTTGAACCCATCTACCCTCCATCTCATTTGGCCAGAAGGTTTTAAAGAGTCATTAACTCGTGACTTGGTTTTGACCAAGCCTGACGACCAGTTGTCGGTCTTAGTTGTGTCGACTGTCAAAGTGTCAATGGCTCACGTCTCACTGCGGGGTATTAGGTGACCTCCCCTTGTCTGCTAATTGGACCAAATTTATTTCCCTTGTTGATCCCCCTGACACGACAACAAGCCGACAGGCTAAAACTGGTATCGATATTTGATTGTAGTCGTAATCGTCCCCTAACCCACCTCGCCCCAAATCATTTCTAGTTCCTCCTTCCCTCTCTTCTCTAGACTTTAAATGCCAATAATTCTGGTAGCTAACTCCATATCATTTATTACAAAACTTATTTCAACTCACTCTGTTTGTCTGTCTGTCTGGTAAAAAGTTATTTCTCCCACGCCCAATCTCGGATCAAGTTGAAATTTTGCACTATTATTTTTTGTACATGACAAAACAAGAATCAATAAAAAACCACAAGTTAGTTAATTAGCTATTGGCAATTAATTATTTTGTACCTTTCGTACTTAACAGATGTAGTGGTGTAAGTTGAATTAGTCCCTTTGAGGAGACTTGAGGCCCCCCCCCCCCTTTTTTTTTACCCATTTAAAAAGCGATCACGAGAACAGATAACACACTTTCCACCCTACTCCTCAGTTTCCCAACTGGTCCAGACACTTGCTAGGATCGTAGCGCATTACGAAAGGTAAAAGCATGAAATTGCGCTAAACAAAAACAAGTGGTCAAAATAATTTGGAAGCTGTAGAAATTATGTCCTTAAAATGTGTATCAGACAGACAGACAGACAGACAGACAGAGTTGATGTCAGTTAAGTAAAAAAAAAACAACAAACGTTTGGCTTGCACTTCTGTCTCGATCGTGCCCAGTTCGAACCCTGCCTGCTGCCATCCCCCACCATCCTGCGGGTTAGGATGTAGTAACCCTGAAATGTAACATCCAAAAAACATGTAAAACAAGCACTGAATTAGCGCACCTTTGTGTCTCTTATCTATCTTACCAATTACTAACGTTCCTTCAGAATAGAATAGAATTCTATTGGCTTTGTCTACATATCTAGCTAGTAGATAGTTTGAAAGTCTGTGTTTTAACTATTTGTGGGTTTTTTTTTGGTTTCTTTTACTTTAAAGCATTTTAGAATATCCGTTACAATATCCGTTACAATATTAGATTTCGTTTTTCAAGACCAGATCATTATTTGTTCACTTTTCACAAAAAGTTCAAAAGAACACGTTCAGATTAAAGTCAAAAGAACACTTTCACAGAAAGATTAAAGAATACTTTCATAATGTAAGAACAATTAACAGGTTTGGTCTCTGTTGAAGATTAAGAGTGACTTCTAGACTTGTCTGAAAGTGGTAAAAGAGGTCATAGACCCCAAGATGGTCATATTACCCGCTGAATAAAACAGCTCTAAGAAAATTTATTTTCATTTGATATCGCGTTAGCCCCATAGAGTTCACTCCAACCGATCCCTGATGGTATATTCATTGAATCTTGAGTATCTGCGGTCAACAAGTATGGTCAGTCTCAAGTAGTGGACAAGCAGGGCTAATAAAACACGTGTTTACGACCTTTCTACTGCGCAAAGAGAGAGAGAGAGATAGACACACACACACAAATAAAGAGAGACAAAGACACACAGAGAGTTAGAGACAGAGCGAGAGAGAGAGAGAAAGATCCAGAGAGAGACAGAGAAACAGAGAGAGAGACGCAGAGAGAGATAGAGAGAGAGACATCCAGAGAGAGACAGACGAATCGAGAGAGAGAGAGAGACAGAGATAAAGAGAGACAGAGAAAGAGAGGCAGAGAGACATAGAGATAGAGATAAAGAGACATGCAGAGAAACACAGAGTGAGAGACAGGGAGAGGCAGAGAGAGACGGAAATAAAGAGAGAGAGAGAGACAGACAGAGAGAGTGGGAGACATAGGGTTTAGTACCCCGCGCACCCCTGGTAGTTTTCCACAAGTTCTCAGCCTGGTTTTCAATTAGCAAGTTATAAGACTGTGGTTCTTTACCCTCCCCCCCCCCCCTCCGAAGTATTTCAGTGACTTAAACCATTTTCGTAGAAAACAATCTTGTGTGTGTGTGTCTAGCTTGGTTTAAAAAAAAATAAATGAAGGATCATGGTCCCCAGAAGTTCAATGTCTGGTCTGTGTGATATTTAAAAAGTATTGAGAAAGGCTGTTTAAAATATATCCATCCATACACGCATAAACAGGTTCTTTGTTTCCTATATTCTAATAACACATAATATAAACTAGAGACAATGTACTCTTAAGGAAAAACAGGGCACCCTCCAGTTTCTGTGATAGAAAATAACGTAATGAGACCAGCACGAGTCTAGATTTTGGTAGGAGGGATAATCCCTTGGGGGTCATTACTACAACAATTTGGAGTAGTCAGTCTTGAAGAATTTAATTATATCTTAGTTGAGTGACCCGCATCACAGGCATTGGGTGAAAGATAAAGATCTGTTTGTCTACCTATCTATCTATCTATCTATCTATCTATCTATTTATCTATCTATCTAATCTATCTATCTATCTATCTATCTATCTATCTATCTATCTATCTATCTATCTATCTATCTATCTATCTATCTATCTATCTATCTATCAATCTATCTACCTATCTATCTATCTATCTATCTATCTATCTATCTATCTATCTATCTATCTATCTATCTATCTATCTATCTAATCTATCTATCTAATTTGTCTATCTATCTAATCTATCTATCTATTTATCTATCTAACTATCTAATTTATCTATCTATCTAATCTATCTATCTATTTATCTATCTAACTAATTTATCTATCTATCTAATCTATCTATCTATTTATCTATCTAATCTATCTAATTTATCTATCTATCTAATCTATCTATCTATTTATTTACCTAACTATCTAATTTATCTATCTATCTAATCTACCTAACTATAATTTATCTAACTATCTAATCTATCTATCTATTTATCTATCTAACTATCTAATTTATCTATCTATCTAATCTATCTATCTATTTATCTATCTAACTATCTAATTTATCTATCTATCTAATCTATCTATCTATTTATCTATCTAACTATCTAATCTATCTATCAATTTATCTATCTAACTATCTAATTTATCTATCTATCTAATCTATCTATCTATTTATCTATCTAACTAATTTATCTATCTATCTAATCTATCTATCTATTTATCTATCTAATCTATCTAATTTATCTATCTATCTAATCTATCTATCTATTTATTTACCTAACTATCTAATTTATCTATCTATCTAATCTACCTAACTATCTAATTTATCTATCTATCTAATCTATCTATCTATTTATCTACCTAACTATCTAATTTATCTATCTATCAAATCTATCTATCTATTTATCTATCTAACTATCTAATTTATCTATCTATCTAATCTATCTATCTATATTTATCTATCTAACTATCTAATGTATCTATCTACCTAATCTATCTATCTATTTATCTATCTAACTATCTAATTTATCTATCTAATCTATCTATTTATTTGTCTATCTAACTATCTAATTTATCTATCTATCTAATCTATCTATCTATTTATCTATCTATTTAATTTATCTATCTATCTAATCTATCTATTTATTTATCTATCTATCTAATCTACCTAACTATCTAATTTATCTATCTATCTAATCTATCTATCTATTTATCTACCTAACTATCTAATTTATCTATCTATCAAATCTATCTATCTATTTATCTATCTAACTATCTAATTTATCTATCTATCTAATCTATCTATCTATATTTATCTATCTAACTATCTAATGTATCTATCTACCTAATCTATCTATCTATTTATCTATCTAACTATCTAATTTATCTATCTAATCTATCTATTTATTTGTCTATCTAACTATCTAATTTATCTATCTATCTAATCTATCTATCTATTTATCTATCTATTTAATTTATCTATCTATCTAATCTATCTATTTAATTTATCTATCTATCTAATCTACCTAACTATCTAATTTATCTATCTATCTAATCTATCTATCTATTTATCTACCTAACTATCTAATTTATCTATCTATCAAATCTATCTATCTATTTATCTATCTAACTATCTAATTTATCTATCTATCTAATCTATCTATCTATATTTATCTATCTAACTATCTAATGTATCTATCTACCTAATCTATCTATCTATTTATCTATCTAACTATCTAATTTATCTATCTAATCTATCTATTTATTTGTCTATCTAACTATCTAATTTATCTATCTATCTAATCTATCTATCTATTTATCTATCTATTTAATTTATCTATCTATCTAATCTATCTATCTATTTATCTATCTATTTAATTTATCTATCTATCTAATCTATCTATTTATCTATCTAACTTCCTCTTATTTTAATTTCCCCTCTTCTAATTTCCACTTATCTAAATAATGAGAATTTTTTTTTTCAAAATTGTAATCTGAATAAAATGTAAATTTAGTTATTTTCTTTTCACTAAATTGATGAATCCTTGTAAGTAAACACGTGATCAAACGTCTCATTTATTTGGATAAAAGTGAATTTGAAAAATAAAACCTTATTCATTATAAACTATAATGGACAAAACAGTTTGTAATCCAGATAAAAAGAAGTGTACCGTGTGACTCGAAAGGTGGCCCTGTTTAGTGGCCAGGAGCCAGTTTTGGAAATTCTTATCTCATCATATATATTTGCTATAATATGTATTGAAATAATGAGATGTTTCAGAAGTCAATACATAAATTAAGTACAATTTTTAGCGGCCCCCGAAAGATGCTATTAGTTTTGTGTGGTCTGTCTGTCCGTCAGTCCGTCCCGTTTAGATCTTGTAAACTAGAATAGATATTGAAAATCCGACATCATGATACTTTAGACCTTTCAAATTTCTGATGCAACGGCAACTTTTTTATTTTCTGAAAGCGAAAAATTTAATTTTTAAAGTAAACTATGCAAGCAGTTTTTTTCATAAAAAATACACAATTTTTACAACTATTCATTATTAATTGTAACAAATACGGGAGGCTATTTAGTAAGGGAGCTGGCTATTTACCATATTTTTAACACAAGTATGCAAACGGTTTTAGTTTTTTTGTCATATTTTTTTTTTTTAACAAATGTATTGCTAAGTTATGTAAGTTCTGTCATACAAACTACTAAATTTAGAAAAAAAA